GACCTCCCAAAAATGGCCCCTTTTTTGCAAAAATGGGCATGCATAGCCTTTAGGAGGCTTATAGAGTGCTCCTGGGGACAGGGGGGGAGGAAATTGACCAAAAAACAACCAATTTTTTGCTCATTTCTGCCCTCCCTAGCCCCCAGGATCACTCTGCAAGGCTCCTAAAGGCTATGCATGCCCATTTTTGCAAAAAAGGGGCCATTTTTGGGAGGTCTGCAGAGTGCAATTTTTTTTTTAAAAAAATTGCATCTTCAAAACTTTGATGCGTCTTATACTCCAGTATGTCTTATACTCCGAAAAATACAGTAAGTGTATTCAATAGTCACCTGAAATTAAGTCTCAGCTTAAAGAAAATATTACTTTTTATTGCAATTACAGTTAAAAGTTTCATGGAGCAATTCTGTAACTCTTTATTTGTCCACCAAATTCAGTGGCATTGAATTCTTGAGCTGCACCCAAGTCAGAAGAAGACATAACAGTACCTTACTGATGAAATTGGAAACCAGGGGAATTCAGCTCAAAGCAATTAAGCAGAACAGATTTTTCTCCATTTACACCCAATTCCTTTCTGAGTTACCATTTTTACAGCACAGAACAAAGCTTGCAAGGATATAAAACTATTAATGCACAATGATTCGTCTTAAAGGTCATACTTAAATACAATAAGAGTCTGTTTTATTTATAGTTTCAAAATATTTTGAGACTGGAACGTATATTTACAAGTGAGCATTCAGTATATACATCTGAAGTAATAGATCACAGTATAAATTAAAGCAGCTTTGATTTAGCACTTTGTAACAGCTAGTTTCAATTTACAAAACATATATTATGAAAATATAAGCACAAAATACAGTTCTTAGGTATATAATATTGTACAGATTGCTTGAACAGAGTAGTGATTCAAATTAATCAGTATATTAATTCAGAACAATACAATGATCTTTATTACAGAATTAAAAATATATTAAATATATATTTTTAGAAACTGTTCTTTCAATTAAATAGCACGTGATGAATATTCTACCAGAGGACTTGCCTATTTGGGGTGGGTGGATGGAGGGATCTTTCCGGCTCTTGTGACCAGACATAGATCAGTCCTATAATTCACATACAGTAATCTAGTTACTATAATCAGTAATGTATAAAATGCAGATGAAATATAATTCACTATCCTAATTATGTTCTGGCTCAAGAAACAGAGGAAGCACTAACATGATTTTCAAAGAAAGCTCCCAGTTGCTCCCATTCCTTCTTCTGGCACTTAGGCCTTTGCTTTTATGATATACAGCACCATAAATCAGAATCTGCAATAAAATTTCTGCTTAGAAAAAATACATGCCAGTGATTTTCATACTTAATTCTGTTGCATATTACTACTTGCAACAAAACTTTTGTGTAAATTTTTTTGAGACTTGTCTACAAATGTTTAACTCATTTTCTCCTTTGTGTTATTTTTCTGTGAAGTTTTGCTTTATCTCTGATGAATATATTGCGCCATCACAGAATAGGTTGTAGACCTTCCCAATACCGCAACCCTTTAATACAGTTCCTCATGTTGTGGTGACCCCCAACCATAAAATTGGTGTCTCGATTTCTAAGATCATCGAAAATATGTGTTTTCTGATGGTCTTAGGCGACCCCTGAGAAAGGGTCATTCGACCTCCAAAGGGGTCCCGACCCACAGGTTGAGAACCACTGTTGTAGATGAAGGACTCCCTTGTTGCAAAGGTTATATCTCTCTCTGACCAAAGATATATCACTACATAGCCAGTATACACATGGCTCAGAAAACTCTAAGACACAAAGATTAACTTCATTTCACTACTAAGTATTTTTGAATACCAAGATGAAGTTTACAAATTTGCAGGTAATCCTTGTTTTACAACCTTTTGTCTAATGATGGTTTGATGTTATGACCGCCTTGGCAGAAAAGTGATTTAAAACCCATCTTTGAAGTTACAACTGCTTGTGCCACCTTGTGGTCACATGACTGCAATTCAGGCACTTGGCAACTGGCTCTCATTTATCATGGTTGCGGCATCTGGCGGTCACACAATGGTGATTTATGATCTTCCTAGCCAACTTCCGACAACAGAATGAATTGGTAATCTGGATTCGCTTAATGACTGCATGATTTGCTTAATGACATGATTGGCTTAACAACCACAGTAAATGTCCATATTAGGAACTGAAATTCTAGTCCCAATTATGGTCATAAGTTGAAGACTATGTTTTCCAGTATTTCTAAAACTAGGAATCTCCCGAACTTCTACCAGTGAGTACTGAGCTGAATTGATTATAGATCCGAATTAGCATAAAATGTCTTCTTAAGTAAAAATAGAACGTAGCCCTAGACTTAATCTCAGCATCAGATATTTATAATGCATTGAAAATTACTTTGCATAGCATTTAAAACTGAAATCTACTAGTGACAAAATTTAGATGCTGCATAATTTCTAAGAAATAAAATTTACAATTACTTTGCACAAATTTAACTGGGTTCCATGCAAATGTAAAAGTAATGTGGTCAAATTCATGCACTTTTCTTAAAATCTGATAAAAATTCAGGCTAGGCATATGACATTTTCAGCCAAGACAATTAACCAATCTAGATTGGGCCAAGAAGTGATAGTGATCTTTTTCACATAGACCAAACATGTATTCTGGTTCATAACAATGTGTGACCTTAACCACAGTAATCTAGAAATTACCACAGAAAGCAGTATGCTGATATGTACTATTTCCCAAATATTCTACCTTCAATATTTTATATACTACTTAATGACTGCTATAAAGTGTTTAAAAGTTCTGAAGTATCAGGTACTGAAGTGTTTAGATAAGCCCAAAGTGAGATCCACTTTGGGCTTATCTAATGAGTAAAAAACTCATCTCTTTATGACAGTTGCACTGGAATCATGTGAGAGATGCTTCTTTCATTTCTGTTTAAATTTAAAGTTAAGATTCTAAAATCTTAACTTTTAAAAGGTAGATATACCAAGATGTTTCCCTATCTCTTAGATCAGAATATCAGGACTTCCAAAGGTTACTGGACAATGCTGACTATGCTGGCCCTATCAGCAAATCCTAAATTCTTCATATAGATAGAAGACAGCTGACCAATTTCCAATTAAGCAATTTGGAAACTTCACATTTCACCATTTTTAAAGCCATAAAAAATTAAGGCCATCATTGCAAGGGTGAGTCAATTCACATGCTAATTTACTGTCTGTATTCTATCGTTTGAAACATCATTTGACAGGAAGCTGCTTTCGAAATCATGTTTCACTTTTAGCTTACTAGTTTTCAGCATAAAGAAAAAATCTTAAAATGAACAAAATGCTTTTACTACTTTTCACTCTAGATAGTCAGCCTCCAATCCTAGAACCAATTTACCTATATGGATGCATCTGTGTCTCTTTCATTCGGGGATGGAGTGGGAGGAGATCATTCCAATAAATATATTTCTACCAAAAGGAGACAATTTACAGTAGAAAACAGAAGCATATGGTATGCTTGTATCTATGCAGAAATAATTTTTGTGATACAATCGTAATCTAGATTTTCCACATGAAATCTGCTAGGGTAGTATCTGAACATTCCCGCATACTGATCTCATGAATAAAATCAAGTCTGTCCATTATAAATAAGCACCACTTAGAACATGACGCTCTGAAATTTAGTCTCTGGACCATGACTTGGGGTTCACTACTATTCCAGGAGACTTTTTGTATTGCTTGAATATTGTCTGAGAACAATAACTGCTTAGTACGATTAAGTCTTAAAGCAGAAATAAAGTTGTGAGTTACACTATATTACCAAAAGTAATCGCTCACTTGCCTTTACTTCCACATGAACTTATATTGGCTCCCAACAGATGTTCAGGTGCAATTCAAGTTTCCTGGTTATTGCCTTTAAAGCTTTAGATACCATAGAACTGAGCTACTTGCAGGACTATCTGCTCCCCTCAACCTCTGCCTGCCCCATGTATTCCCATATGGACATGCCACATGCTGCAGATCTCTGCTGACTGATGTCTAATGGATGTTGTTACAAATTCTCTACCCAATACTCATATTAATACAGAACAGATAAATGAAAATCAGTCTGTTAAAATCCAGACTAACTGTAATTAGCACAAAGAATAATGAAAAAAAGTCATTAATTTGGAGAAGTCACGTTATAACTGATATGCATCTGTAGAATAATAAAAATGAATGAAGCATGGACTAAGGAAATATCTAACCACATTATGGGCACTAATGCAGTGTCAGTGACTCAACAATGAATCCAAAGGGGGGGGGGGGGGAAATACTAATAGCAATTCAGTCGGGAAGACTTATACTTTTGGCAATATAGTGTATATTGTCCAACATATAAATAATATTAATTACTGAGATGCCTGGCTATACCAAGAGAGAGAACGACAGACGGCTTTTATCCAGTTACTCATGGCAGGTTCATACTCCTTTGGCTCTCTTTGTGGCTTAAAAATCATGTCAGTAATTAATATTATTTATA